CTCAGGGCTTGGGCGCTGTCCCTCAGCTCTTCAGCTCAAGGCAATTGCTCTAACGCTTGAGCCACAATACCACTTCCGGTTTTTTAGTGCTTTATTAGAGTTGAGAGTCTCACGGACTTTCCTGCCCGGGCTGGCTTTGAACCGTGATCCTCATCTCAGTCTCCTGAGTAGCTAGGATTACAGGCATGAGCCACCAATGCCCGGCTCTCCACATTTTTATTTCTTTGTATCTTAAGAAAATAATGAACAAATGCAAATCAGAGCAACACTGAGATTCCACCTCACCCAGTTAGAATGGCTAAAATCAAGAAATCTAATAACAATAGATGATGGAGGGGATATGGACAGAAGGGAACCCTACTGCATTGTTGGTGGGAATGTAAACTTGTTCAACCACTTTGGAAAGCAGTATAGAGGTTCCTCAAAAGACTCCACCTAGAGCTCCCCTATGACCCAGCAATCCCACTTTTGGGCATTTACCCAAATGTTTACAAACAAGACCCCACTAAAGCTACCAGCACGACTATGTTTATCACAGCATTATTCACCATAGCTAAGATATGGAACCAACCCAGATGCCCCTCAGTAGATGAATGGGTCACATGTGATATGTGTGTGTGTGTGTGTGTGTGTGTGTATACACATATATATGATGAATTCTATACCTCCATCAGGAAGAATGACACTACCGCCCCATTTGTTAGGAAATGGAAAGACTTGGAAAAAATTATATTAAGTGAAGTAAGCCAGGCACAAAGAAACATAGGTCCCATAGTTTCCTTTATTTACAATAACTAGTATATGTCTAGGACAAGCAGAAAAGGTCAAAAGCTATGTACATATGACCATATAAGATGATGCTAAGCGAAATGAACCCCAAGACAGGGACAGAATTGTTTTTTTCTTTCTTGCTATTGTTTTTAACATATTTATAATGTGCTATGTGATTTTTTTGTTTCTTTTGTATGTTCTTCCCCATGGTATAACGCCTGTTTTCACTGTATTTGATTCCAGTGCCCTGCATCTTTCTAATTTGGGGAGGGAAGGAAAAAAACAAAATGCTTAAATAGGGATGCAGGTTGACCCATTGTAACAATGAGATGTACGAGACACTATGTTGAAAACGAACTTTACAACTTGGGGGGGGGGAGGAGTTGGGGAGGTAGGTAGGGAAGGGATGGTAGGGGAAAAACAAAGGCTGAGGTAACAATGCTTGATAGGAAATGTACTCATTACCTTACTCATGTAACTTTAACCCCTCTATATACTATTTTTACAATAAAAAACATTTTAAAAAAAAATCCAAAAAGCAAAAAAACAAAACAAAAAAATACTTGTGCCAGAACCCCCAGCAAAGATGGGTGTTTGGAATCTTCATTTTCCAAATAAATCTTTTCCTTTGTAAAAAAAAAAAAAAAAAAAGATGATGCTAAGGGAAATGAACACCAAGATAAGGACACAAGTGCTTTTTTCTTTCTTGCTGTTGTTTTAGTGTACTTACAATGTACTATGTGATTTTTTTTTGTTTCTTTTGTATGTTCTTCCCCCATGGTATAACTCCTGTTTTTACTGTATTTGATTCCAGTGCCCTGCATCTTGTATATACATTTTTTCTAATTTGGGGAGAGGAAAGGAAATAACAAAATGCTGAAATAAAGGACACAGGTTGACCCTTTGTAGCAATGAGTCGTACAAGACATGTTGAAAACTAACTTTACAACTTTGGGGGTGGGGGGTGGAGTTGGGGAGGTAGAGAGTGAAGGGATGGTAGGGGAAAAACAAAGGAGGGGGTAACAATGCTTGAAGGAAATGTACTCATTACCCTACTCATGTAACTGTAACCCCTCTGTACACTATCTTTACAATAAAATATATATTTAATTTTTTAAAAGAAAATAATGCCTTGGAAATTATTAATTTGATTTTGGACATACAATATATAAAGATATGTGACATCAACAACTGAAAAAAGTTAAGCAGAGTTATCAAAGGTGCAGAGTTCTTATAGATTATTGAAGTTAAGCAGGAATAAATTTGAATAAAATTGTGAAAACTTTAAGCTGTGTGTCTTAGTTCATTCAAGCACCTAAATGAAATACCAGAGAAAGTAATTTCTGAAGAACAGAAATTTATTTCCCACAGCTTTGGAGACTATAAGCTTAAGGTGACAATGCCAGTGGGTTTGGTATCAGGTGAAGACCAGATCTCTCTGATTCCAAGATGGTGCCTTGTAATTGTGTGCTCAGGTGACAGAAGGTTGAAGGGCAAGAGAGGCAGCCTCCCTCAGAAGCCTCCTTTGTAAGAACATTAAATGTTTTGTAAGGATGGTATCCTCATGGATAAATCACTACCTAAAAGGCCTTACTTCCTGATACTACCACAATAGAAATTCAATTTCAACATGATTTGGGGAGGATATTCAAACCACCATGCAGATATTTAAATGTAACCCCTATGGTCACCACAGAGAAAATAGCTTAAAATATGCACAAATGAGACAAATTCAATTAAACATAAAAGACTATAATGTAGGAATGAGGGACCAAAAAGTTGTAAGCTGTAAGACATGTAGAAAACACATAACAAACTGGCAGAGGAAAGTCCCTTGTATCAATGAGTGCTTTATTAATAGTGTTATTATCATTACTTAGATAGCGAACATTGTAGTTTAAATGATGAAATGATTCATTTCATTTTGATCAATGTCACTAGATGTTCAGCACAACTAATGGAGCCCCCTTTTCTGGTTCCACATTCATGAGGCAGCACTCTCAGCCTGTCATGTACATCTTACCAGAACATATGCTGGGAGTGTTGAGTGAAATAGCTTAGGCTGGTGTGTATACATTGATATTGCGCTATTGTTTTATTTAAAAGGCATTCTATTAGCCTCAGTTAGTTGTCCAAGGTGTTTCACTTTGACATGTCTATGTAGGCATGCAATGCTCATGATCAGCCTCACTTTCTCTGTCATTCTCCTTCATTCTCACTTGCTCCTTCCCAAACCAATCCTAACAAAGATGCTAGGGTTTCACGTGTGTATCGATATTGACCATATTTACCCTTCTTCCCTCTATCCATTCACCCTCCCCTACCACCTGTACTCTCAGTAAGTGCTTTAATGTAAATGTGTCAAACGCTTAAATTATTAGAAGGGATTAAACAAAATAAAAACACAAAATTGTGATCCAAGCAACCATATGCCGTCTACAATATACTAGCTTTAGATCCACACACAAATGGATGAGAAATGAAATGATATAAAAAACACATTGCATGTAAATATTAGCTAAAAGAGAGCAAGGATGGCTATAATATCATCAGAGTTTAAATCAAATAAGTTTGTAAGAGACAAAGAAGGATCGTTTATGTCTTGGACAGAAAATAGAAAGTTTAAGCCAGGTGTCGGTGGTTCAAGTCTATAATCCTAGCTAAGATCTGAGGATCTGAGGATCATGGTTCAAAGCCAGCCCAGACAAGAAACTTTGTGAGACTCTTATCTCCAATTTACCACCAGCAAACCAAAAGTGGAGCTGTGGCTCAAGTGGTAGAGTGCTCTCCTTGAGCTGAATTGCTGAGGGACAGCACCCAGGCCCAGAGTTCAAGCCCCATGATGGACCAAAAGAAAAAAAAAAGAAAATAGAAAGTTTGACCATAATTATTACAGAACTCATGTCTCACAATTCATAATGGATGTAACAACCAGATAGAAGGCAAATAAGGCCACAGAGGATTTGAACAACAAAGTAAACCAACTAAATCTAACAGATTTAGACAAAATATCTAACAACAGAATACACATTCTTTTTCTTTCTTTCTTTTCTTTTTTTTTTTTTTTTTTTGTTGGTCCTGGGGCTTGAACTCTGGGCCTGGGTGCTGTCCCTCAGCTCTTCAGCTCAAGGCTAGTGCTCTACCACTTGAGCCCACAGCACCACTTCCAGAATACACATTCTTTTTATATTCATATGTGCCATTGTTCAGGATAGACATTATACTAGGTCATAAACTCATTCTCAATACTTCTTTTGTTGCCAGTCCTGGGGCTTGAACTCAGAGCCTAGGCACTATCCCTGAGTTTCTTTTATACTCAAGGTTAGCACTTGAGCCTTAGAACCACTTCTGCCTTTTTCTATTTATGTGGTACTAAAGAATCAAACCCAGGACTTCATGGATACAAGGCAAGTACTCTACCACTAAGCCACATTCCGAGCCCTCAATATATTTTTTACAAGTATATATCATAGAAAATATCCAAAACAAGATGAAGTTAGAAAGTAATATCAAAATCAAAATAAATTTCACTAGTAGTTTCATTTCATAAATCTGTGCAAATTAAACAGATTCTTAAGCAATAGTGAACTAAAGGAGAAATCACAAGGAAATAATGAAATAGAGATGAATGAGCATAAAAACACAACACACAACAAAAGCTTGTGTGACATGGTGAAAGCGGGGCTTAAAGATAAATTTATAATCACAGCTATTTGCATTAAAAATAGGAAAGATTTCTAATGCAGTTGCTGATGCCTCACACCTATAATTCTAGCTACTTTGAAGGCTGAGAATGAGAGGGTCATGTTTCAAGAATAGCCTAGGTGGAAAGTGCATGAAACCCCTTCTCAATCCATAACTGGGCATAGTAGCATGTGTCTACTCTCATAACAAAGCTAGACAAAGATGCCCACAAACACCACAAACTAATATCATTTTGTGGATGTAGGTGCAAAATTTTTTCACAAACTACTAGCAAACAGAATTGAATAGCATATTAAAAGCACATAGACATGATCAAGTGGGATTTATTTTTGGAATGCAACAATAATTTGATATAGAAAATTAACAGAATGAAGGACAAAATTGAAATTATTTGAATTGATGAACACAAAATAAAAACTAATAAAATTCTGCAGGCTTAATCATAAAAATACTCAATGAACTAGGAATAAACAGTAAGTCGGCATTATAAAAGCCATGTGTCGGCGCGCCGCGGGTCGCGCGGCCCTGGCGCGTGGTGCGGAGGCATGGCTTCGCTGCGGTGTAGCACGGCGGTCTGCGTGATCTGCTTGGAGAAGCCCAAGTACCGCTGCCCGGCCTGCCGCGTGCCCTACTGCTCCGTGACCTGCTTCCAGAAGCACAAAGAGCAGTGCAGCCCTGAAACTCGTCCCATTGAGAAAAGATCAGCAGCTCCTGTAAAAACCACAAAGCCTGAGGACAACAAAGATGATGACTCTCTAGCTGATTTTCTCAATAGTGATGAGGAAGAAGACAGAGTTTCTTTACAGAGCTTGAAGAATTTAGGGGAATCTGCAACTTTAAGAAGCTTACTGACCAATCCACACCTTAGACACCTGATGGTCAACCTTGATCAGCGGGACAACAAAGCAGAGGTGATGAAAACCTATATGCAAGAACCTTTGTTTGTGGAGTTTGCAGACTGCTGTTTAAGCATTGTGAAGCCGTCCCAGAATGAGGATTCATAAAATGAAGTCCTGTATTCCTTGCCCAAGCATATGCCTCACTCCCAGTACTTGTTGGCTCCTCCCTGGAGCTGGGTAGGGGTACCCTAGGCAGCCTGGCTGCTGGGTTCCTGAGGCCTTTGCCTTCATCCACATATCTCCGAGACAGATTCATATCTTCAGATCCATAGATGCTCAAGGTGTTGAGCCTTTATGAAGAAGGTGTTTGATATTCAAAATAAGGTTGGTTTTATATTTTATTTTTTATACAGTTTGGATACACATAAATATCAAGTTTTCATCCAGGTTCAGTTAAAAACTGGATCAGTGTTACTAAACTAAATGGAAGATGTGGTTCTTGTGTATATTGCATTGTACTTGGTTCCTAATCTAATTCTTTGAAATCATATTAAATAAATCAAAAACTTATTAAATATTCCCCCCCTAAAAAAAAAAAAAAAAGCCATGTGTCATACATCTGTACATCATCCTTGAACAAGTACTATGTTCAATGATGAGGGACTAGAGATTTTCCTCTAAAACTGAGGATAAGGCAGGTATTCCTACTTTTTCCATTTTTGTTTGATATAATACTGGAACTTGCAGAAAAAAGAATCAGTAAACTTGATAGACTGACAGAGATTATATAATCCAAAAGTTAGAAAAATACAATATAGAGCCAGGCTCCAGTGGCTCATGCCTGTAATCCTAGCTACCCAGGAAGCTGAGATCTGAGGAATGTGGTTCCAAGCCAGCCTGGGCAGGAAAGTTCATGAGACTCTTATCTCCAATAAAGTACTCTGAAAAAGCCAGAAGTGGTGCTTAAATGGTAGGGCACTAGCCTTGAGCACAAAGAGGCTCAGGGACAGACCCAGTCCCAGGCCCAGAGGTCAAGTCTCAGGACCAGAAAAGAATCAGGAGGAGGAGGAGGAGGAAGAAGAGGAAGAGGAGAGGGAGGGGGAGGGGGAGGGGGAAGAAGAAGAAGAAGAAGAAGAAGAAGAAGAAGAAGAAGAAGAAGAAGAAGAAGAAGAAGAAGAAGAAGAAGAAGAAGTAGGGGGAGGAGGAGGAAGTGGGGGGGAGGAAGAGGAGGGGGAAGAGGAAGAAGGAGGAGGAAAAAAGAAGAAGAAGAAGAGAAGCAGCAGCAGCTGCAGCAAGAAAGGAAAACCAACAGTCTTGGAATATGGGTTATATTTAAGCACACCGATAGATGTGTTAAAACTATGAAAAAAGAAGAAAAAGAAAGGAGCAGAAAAAATATTCAAAGAAATAATGACTGAAACTTCCCTGATTTATTAAAAAAATATTAACCTACACATCTAAGGAATCTCCATAAATTCTGAGCAGGATAAATACTGACAGCCATATGTAGATACATCATGGTGAAATATCTTTGATTTCCTGTATTTTGGCAAACAGAGCTTGAAAGCAGTGAACAGAAAACAATCCTGGAAAATCTAGTAACATTCAAATACTGGGCTTGTCAGCAGAATCATAAAGGTTAGAAGCAGTGGGCAACATTTTAAATATATTGAAGGCAAAAACCTATCATCCAAAAATCCCTATCAGCAACACTATATTTTAAAATGAAAGTAAAAAGCTAGGCATTGATGGCTCATGCCTGTAATCCTACCTACTCAGAAGGCTGAGATCTGAGGATGGCAGTTCAAAGCCAGCCCAGGCAGAAAAGTCTATGAGACTCTTACCTCCAATTAACCACCAGAAAACTGGAAGTGGCGCTATGGCTCAAGTAGCAGAGTGCTAGCCTTGAGCTGAAGAGCTGAGAGACAGTGCCCAGGCCCAGAGTTCAAGCCCCACAACCAATTTAAAAAAGAAAAAAAAAGAAATGAAACCCCAATAAAATGGAAGTAAAATAAAGACATTTTAAGTCAACAGACACAAATAAATTGTATTACCATTAGATTCATCTTACAAAACAATTCTAAAGTTCCTCAGGTAGAAACTAAGTAAAACAAACTGGAAATGGAAATTTTAATCTATGTAAGAAATAAAAGAACACACATAAAAGTAAATATACAGCTCTTCCACAGGAGGCCTACACGCCGCTGCTGGTGCTGCCGCCATGTCATTAGTGATTCCTGAGTAGTTCCAGCACATTTTGCGAGTACTCAACACCAACATCGATGGGCGGCGGAAAATAGCCTTTGCCATCACTGCCATTAAGGGTGTGGGGCGAAGATACGCTGCTCATGTGGTGTTGAGGAAAGCAGACATTGACCTCACCAAGAGGGCTGGAGAACTCACAGAGGATGAGGTAGAACGTGTGATCACCATTATACAGAATCCACGTCAGTACAAGACCCCAGACTGGTTCTTAAACAGACAAAAGGATGTAAAGGATGGAAAATACAGCCAGGTTCTGGCCAATGGTCTGGATAATAAGCTCCGTGAAGACCTGGAGCTGCTGCGCCACTTCTGGGGCCTTCGAGTTAGAGGCCAACACACCAAGACCACTGGACGCCGTGGTCGCACTGTGGGTATGTCCAAGAAGAAATGAGTAGGCCTTTTCTGTTAATAAATAGTTTATATACTGAAAAAAAAAAGTAAATATACAACTATTAAAATCAGTATAAGTTTTGTATTTTTCTCTTATTCGGGAAATATATTAGACAATATATGAATGATTGTATCATTGGACCTATAAAATATAGAAATGATACACCACCAAGGAGGCCAGTGAGAGTAGAAATGTATTAAGAGAAGCAAAGAGAGCCAGAAATGAGAAATTGGAAGGTGAATATAACAAATTTCATAAAAATATGCCTGCTCTCCTTTCTTTTCTCAGCCATTTCAATACACAAAATTTGTAATCTTCTTAACCAGATATCATTGGGCTTGTAAAATTCACAGATCTCTAACAAGTACAGCATAAAGAAATGGAGTGACTGTAGGAGGAACATTTGTGTATTTCATTAGATCAAATTAGAATAAACCACAAGCAAACGCTAGTTAAGTTAAGGAAATACATATATGGCAAATTCTAAGGATTAAATTAATTGGAGGTAAATTAATTAGAATATATATAATATAGTTTCACTCACATAAAATGTCCAAAATAGACAAGCCTATTGAGAAAGTAAGTAGATAAGTGGTTGCCTAGAGGTGAGGAGTCAGTGGGGCCATGCATTTGGGGATAACGTATAAGACCTTTGGGGCTTTTTGGAGATAATGAAAATATTCTAGAATGGATGCCAGTTGCACAACTTTGTGAATGCATTAAAAGCCATTAAGCTGGATACTTTAAATAGATGGACTATCTGATGTGTATGTTAATAAAGCTGCTGTTGTTATTTTCAATGGCCTCAATGGGGAGAATTAAAGGTGTGGACAGTGGTGCAGCAATCCAGATGAGAGACTGAAGACTTGAGCTGAAGAGCAGAACAGAAATAGGAATCATAAGAGGGTAACAGATGAGGGTCCTGGGAGATAGACATAATAGTCCCCAAACCACTAATCTACCACCTGCAGAATGTTGAAGGTCAGTAACCTATTAGCATATTACATAGTATGAGGATCGTAGTTAGTAACAATGTGTTGTTTTGTTTGTCTTTGGTCATGGTGGGGCTTGAATTCTGGGCCTGGGCACTGTCTCTCAGCTCTTCAGCTCAGGGCTAGCACTCTACCACTTGAGCCACTGTGCCACTTCTGGTTTTCTGAGTGGTTTATTGGAGATATTGGAGTGCTTTATTGGGATCCTCAGACCTCAGCCTCCTGAGTAGCTAGGATTACAGGTGTGAGCTACTATGAGAGATTTTAAGTTCTCTCACCACAAAATACGTATAATGAGAAAACATTTATTGATTAGGTTGTTATCCATTCCAGTGTACATTAACATTTGTATGTATGTGATATACATACAAATAAATACAAATAAGTTTTGAGAAGCTTGAAGATTTCGTCAATTAAAAATCAAAGTTTTGGGGCTGGGAAGGTGGCTTGGTGGTAGAGTGCATGCATGGGGTCCTGGGTTTGATTCCTCAGCACCACATAAGCAGAAAAAGCCAGAAGTGGCGCTGTGGCTCAAGTGGTAAAGTGCTAGACTTGAGCTGAACAGCTAAGGGATAACACTCAGGCTCAGAGTTCGGCCCCATGACTGACAAAAATAAAAATAAAAAAAAATCAAAGTCTTGTGAGGCACTAGTGTCTCATGCCTATAAGCCTAACTACTTAAGAGGCTTAGGTCTGATGACTGAAGTTTGAGATTAACCCAGGTAGGAAAGTCCATGAGACTCTTACCTCCAATTAACCACCAAAAAGCCAGAAGTGGAGCTGTGGCTCAAGTGGCAGAGCACTAGTATTGAGTAAAAAACCTCAGGAGCAGTACCCAGACCCTGAGTTCACACTCCAGGACTAGCACACAAACAAATCAAGTCATGTTGGAAGTATAAGAATATAAGAAAACACCTGCCAAGGATCCACCAAAAACTTCACACATTTAAGAGAATTTATGGCACAGCTAATGGTATGTACTTCATGTACCAGAAGAGGAGAGTGATGCAATAGGAAAAAAATAGAGCCCTTCCCTTCCTTTCCAGCCATGCCTCTCCACCATGCATGGTGGGGGCAGCAATTGGGTAAATAAACTTCTCCTGCCCGAATAACACCAGGTGTTCTCGTCATCGGCTACCTAATGAAACCTACCTATTTAATATACCTTACCTATGGTGCCAGGACTCAGATGGGGTTTTTGAGTTGGAAATGTCAGAATTTCCTAACCACCCCTTTTCTGTGAACCGAACTGCCTTGAGACACCACGGGAGACTTTTTACTAATACCATTGCTGGCCTTCACAGCCACGTCCACACCACTTCTCTACTCTGCCCCTCAATGCCTCATGAGACTTTCTCCAGACTTCGTCCAAGAGACAGACTTGCCTTCTCCAGACTTCATCTAAGGACTCAACGCCCAAGTGACAGCTGCTGCCTGCTACCTTCTCAGAGGGGACCACATCTCAGCCTTTTACCCCTACAGTGGATGCCCCTTGCAAGCAGGAAGTAGCCAGAGAGGATCTTCACCCTTTTTCATAATTATCAAGAGGCTGGAATGCAAGGTCTGCACAGGGATACCTCCCTAACCCTTGGCTA